ACTGTCTTCATGGCGAAGATGAAATGAACTGCAGTAATTATGACTATTTTTGTTTCATTTCAGCGAATGTGATGGAAACGTCACAAACGATAACATCGCATCTAATCTGCTGATCTGTGGCATCAAATGAACACAAGCAGAAGTAGTTAAAATCTTTATTGCCGATGCGTTTTGCTACCACAGCGGTGGCACCATTAGGGCGCAGCTGATAGGGCCGGCAAGAATCCGTCCCATTCATGACAAAGACATGGCACATTGGTAAAAAATCTGGGTCACTCCTAGCATCGGACTGGAAATTTAATAGAGTTCATTTGTGAAAGCACCCAGTCGGTCTACCATGGAGACAGAAGACTTATTAGCTTCGAGAAGCATAACTGTCTGCGCATCCAAAACAGCAGACCCTCAGCAATTTCATAAGCGGATGCCAACTTCCGGGAAAGAAAAATGAAACTTTCGCAGATGATCGCCAAAACTTGATCGAAGTTGGCGACTTAATAATGATAGCTTGATTAGCAGCTGCGTTATTAAGAAGGCATCAAAATGCGTGCATAGGCAACTTTGCGCTAACTTTTATCTCAAATTTCAGTTCGAAACGTTTTTACATTTTTTTTTATAAAATATGACTTTGAAATGAAGGAAAGGATAGTTCGTAATCGTTAGCATGTTCGCTTTCCCTACACCTACATGATGGCGCCAATTCTAACACCCTTGTTTTCATGTAGTTAATGATGGTGGCGCTGACCTTCATTTCTTTTCATCAACTCAGATTTAGTGTTTAAAGGCAGAATCGACAGCAACCGTGTGACAAGAATAGACTGTATTCTTGTTTCCTGTCCATTCATTTACCAGAGTAGTGAATATTGTCATCTTCAGAAGGAAGTAAAGCGAGTGAAATCTATCGCGGCTCCAAGAACATCTCGGTTCTTCCGAGGAACTGAGTAACCCCGGTCTGACACAACTCATGGTAAACCCTCTTGTCCACGAGAGTTAGTAGTAAAGACAAAAGTTGCCCGTAGAGGGAATCGAACTCGGAGATTTTAAAGTTCAAGCTTAAAACCGACGTGTTACACACTGTGCCACTACCCTGGAGTAAAATTAACCTTTAATTTCAGAAAGACGAAATTCGAAGAGCCTACTTTGTGAAAATCAGAAGCAGCGAGTTTCGATAACTAAATGGTGCGATGGCCACGCAGACTGCGAAGACGAATCAGACGAAATGTACTGTGGGTAAATTAATTTCAACTTCGAATGCTATTGTTTGACTGACATATTCGCCATGTATTTTGTTTTCATGCATGCACATCACGTTATTCGCAAGCATGTAAGTGTAATTAATATTCTGTTAATTAATAAATGAAAATACAGCGCCGAAATTACGAATCGGATTATGCTCTAATGGTTGCTTCTATGCAAAACCGACCAATAAAACGTCGGCTTCGTTGAACTGACAAGGAAAAGTGCTGGAAATAAAAATATGCCATCAGCAGGGTTACAGCAAAGTGAAATTAACGTCATCCAGAATTATACAAATATACCATCGTGTAAATAACCAGTTCAATTAAAGGAGCATCACTACATATGGACAGTGAGTAAGCATCATACGTACACTGGACGGTAAAACAAAACTTCTAACAAACTAAAAAATTATACATGAATTCGCAATGATACATTATGTAATCCTAAAGGAAACTTTATGAAACCCTTTTCCTGAAATCGCGATATTGGTAGAACCATGACATGAAATGATAAAATCCATATAACCATGATATGCCCACCGCAAATGAAAACTGATAACTTCATAACAACGCTACCTACGATTACCACTTGACAAAGCTACCTCCATACCTCTATAAAATCTGTTATAGAACAGGAGGCAGGTAAAATAAGGTGGTAAAGTCATACAGAGAAAAGTTAAATAAGATCCGTAGGCAGAAAACCAGCAATTTCACGACGACCACCACAAATTCATCAAAAAACGTTCTCGATCTGATCGGCACGTCCATAAGAAGGAAGAAAACAAATTCGTAGCCCCTGGACAGAAGTTCTCTTTACCTCCAAGCGAAACGTCAATGAAAGAGATTTATACTAGTGGAGAGCATACATTGGAAACTGTGGAAAACTAATGGTGAAACAGGAAGTAATCGATCGCGCCATAAAAAACATCCTAGAGAGGATCCAACGGTCAATGAAAAGGAAGACATAGGATCTAAAGGATAATGCACTGGCTTCAATATGAAAAAAAAATAAAAATGGAAGAGAGTCATCTTGCAGGCAGACACAAAATTTCATTGTTATTATGGAACTCCCTGACTACATAGAAATATCTTTTGGCCTATTAACAGACAAAGAAACTTATACAGAATTCCAACTTCCGGACAGAAAAGTTGTTGCCACATAGTTATCCAGTGGTCAGTTGGATCTTCAGAAAAAAATTGAAATTACACATGGACAGGATTAAAAGTGTGGTTAAAACTCTCAGACCGTCTTTGCAGCTTCCGGGATCCGTATTTAAATGCTCTTCCAAAATTCAATAGACGGCTGTCTCCTCTATACAGACCGTCGAGGGATAATTTGTAGGGTACAAATTTCCTTGGTGATGAAGAGTGGAGTGTTCAATAAAGTCAGTATTAAATCTATGCGCAAAAGTAGAAATCTTATGAGTTTATAAATTTACTAGCATACTGCTAGCAATCGATACCGCCGCTGAGATATTTAATCCTTTGTAGTTTTCGATACCGGACTGAAGCGCTGTGAGCACCACCCCGTTGCTTCTAGTCGCCTAGAGAACCATTTAATCAGGCCCCGGTTCCATGGCATTTGAGCATCTGCAATGCACGGATGCAGAACCGCATCACTAGGCATGGTCTAACAAGGGCCTATTCAGATACCTGCATGTGCCAATTTGTTAATAGCAGTTCTAACTTTTCCTTAGCAACATCTCTGTTGCTCGATTAATGCAAAAATAGCACCCGACGGAGTTTTTTCACCCGGATGACGAATTCCGTTTAGTTCATTGAGTTTCTTAACACAGGAGAATAAGGTGTTGTCAGTAGGACGGGAAAACAAAGAGCGTAGCTGTTCGGGAGAAAGAAAAGGCCTGCAAACTTTTGACCTTATACCCTCTTTGTCGTGCCAGTGGCGCTCCTGTTCCAGTTGTTGGGGACGGCTTTCTCTAATATGCCGCTGAGAAGCGACGATCCATTTACAGTTTTACGTTTATAGCCGTGTGAGCGATCTACAAGAGTACACTGAATTCGACATCGATATTCCAATCGTCATTCGGTTTAAACTGTTGTGGGGCATTGGCTTACGCGGAAGGTGAAACTTTTCGCGAAGGGTAACGGATGAGTACAGGCTATTGTCTTTAAACGCTTATACAATTCAACAACAGTACTTAAGAAGGGCTTTCTCATCTGGTGGTTTGAGCACAATGGCAATCGAAAGGCTTCATTTCAAAGCCAAGTTTACGACATCAACACTTTCATCCTTAGAGTTAATTATAAACACACGCAGAAAAATATGGCTTTGCTTCGTCGAAGTAAACTTCGTGCATGAGATATACAGTGGTTTTATTTTTTGATATAATCACATTGGGCCGTTTGCATAAGCAGAACTTCACCGGTTTATGTCCGCTATGCTTACAGCTTTACAACGCCTTTTGTTACATGGCACCGGTCAGTGCATCATAGAAAGAAATACTTCTTCTGAGGCAGATCTGCTTCTATTATGTTCTCCGATGCTGGTGCTCTTTTCTACATCTGTTGTATTTCCACTGCAACAGGAGGCGCTGACAAGCTGGAATAAATCAATTATTTTCAAGCAGTGTGCTTAACGGAACCAAATTTCCAACGCTAATCTTTACCCTCTACTGAGGTGTGTCCAGTAAATAATAGTCATTCCTTACGTTGCATTGCTGTCTGACCTTCATTCTAAGATTTAG